AAAACTTAATATGAAGTTACTTTGCAAAACAAGATAGAGAAAAGGGGAACCAAGTAGGAATTGAGCTTGAAAATTCATGGTTCAGAACTGAAAGAAAAGGGCATGGAATTTGATGGGCTAAAATAAAGAGGCATTATGAAATAAAAATCAACGTGGCTTAAGCACATCACATTTGTTTGTATTTAAGGAAGGAGAGTAAAAGTCTCAAGAACTCAGAGAAGTGCTGTATCATTTTAGAATGGAAAAATTGGAAGGAGAGCTAGTATGGTAGAAGTTGTCAAGTTTAGCTTTAAGCATTTTAAGTAGGAGGTAATGGTGAGCCGCCTAAGTAGGAATATGCAAGGATGGATGGAAATACTTTGAGACTTTATGGCTGTAAATTAAGAGGGTTTTATAATTATCAGCACAGAGGTTAAAGTCGTGAGTGTGTTAGGCCATTAAAGAGGGAGGAAAGATCTGAGAACCAAGATTTAGCCAAAAGGGATCTCCTGTTAGTGGGGCAGAGAGCAGAGAAGCAGGAGCACATAGCAGAGAAGTTAAAAGAGAAGATATTAAAGGGCTGGTGTTCAGTAAGAATTTTATTAGAAGCCGCAAGATGATTAAGTGACAGTCTTAAGAAAAAAGACAATAGGTTCAAAAAGACTTTTACAGAGATGGAAGCTTAGGGTTAAGTAGGTATTAGATGTAGAGTAATAAGAGGATTATCATTTTAAATGTTTGGTCAGAAATTGAAAAAGAAATAGAGGAATTACGAGCATCCAAATAATTGAAATACGCTTTAAATGGCCACTAGGTTTAAAACTTTGTGCTAGAAATTGTAGGAGACATAAGATAAATCAGAAACTGTATTTACATGCACTCATTTACAATTAATAAAAGAGGGGAGCTATGTGCATTAATTTATAATGAAGAAGCCAGGCTCTCATAAGTTTAACTTGAAGCTCTGAGTGCTATGGAGATGTGAAAAATAGTTATTCAAGTACTGGTTAAACTTCTCTACAAAGAGAGCCAAAAACACAGTGCCTTGAATCGGGAAGCATTTATTCCTGTCACTCCAGTCTAGAGCAGCAGAGCCCAAGGTCGGTGGGGCAGCCCTGTCACCCTCAGCATGGGGCTTCTAATCGTCACTAGTCATCACCATGTCCTAAAAGACAGAGAAGGAAAAGAGAGTCCAAGGCAAATATCTTTAAAGAGAATTTTAGGAAGTTGTGTAAATCACTTCCACTGATATTTCAGAGGCTCAAATTTAGTTGCATACAAGGGAAGATAGGAAGTAGAATTATACTAGCTGGGCAGCAATGTTCCTCGTAAAACTCAGGCAAGACAGTGAATACCGAGGTAGAGTCACCAGTCTCTACCTTAGATGTTTACTCAATGAAAAGATCAGGAAAACTACAACTAGATGGTGGTATTGGGTCGGAATTGAAGGATAGGTGTTGGCTTTGAATAGTAGAAAGGAGTGGAGAGTAGAGAATTAGTCTGAAGGACAATCTGAACAAAGGAAGGATAAGAATCAATATAGGATTTTTTTGGGAAGGTGGCCAGCAGCCCAGTGCGTAGGAGAAAAAGCAGTAGAATATAATCTTGAAATGTTATTTTGGAGCACAATGTGGTGGATCTTAAATTCTATGCTTTACAAGCCTCGATATTTGGTAAGTAGGCTATAGGTATGATTAAAGATTTGTTTTTAACAGAGTTGTAGCATTTTGGAAATTATTGTACATGAAAATTAACTGGGAAGCAGTATTTAGAGCTTATATATTTGGAATAAAAAGTGGAAAGACCAGCCAGAAGACTAACTGCTACAGAATATGACAACATGAACTGGCATTAATGCCAATGGGAATAGACTAGGAAGGAGGAGGGGAGGAAGTGAAAGAGACATTCTGTAGGTAAACTGATATAATTTGACAAATTTGTCAAACTGATATAATTTGTCAGCGTCACAAGGACTAGGGACAGGACCTTTGCAGTTGTTAATTTAGGAATGCCAGCAGGTGATGCTGTTGACAGAGATGGAGAAGACAAAAAAGGGAAGGATTTGGAGAAAAGATTATGAGTTCATATTGAACATATTAATAATGAAAAGTCTACTGTTAGCCCATTGGAAATTCTGTTTAGGTCAAGAGTGATAAGGGTTAAATATATAGATTTGAAGTGACTGAAATATTTTGGGGGCAGAAAAATTATGGGGCCAATAGAATTTTTAAAAGTGAGTCTGAGGAGTTAGAAGGAAGGGACAGATATTGAAGTAAGATCTGATGGAAATAGAAAAGACAGAGTTAAGCAGAACAGTTAATCATAGAAGGGAGAGGTAATTCTATTCAGGAAAAAGTAGAGAATGAAACTGGAATCAGCTGTGATGACTTAAATGTGAGGGAGATAAAGCAGACCAAGACAAAGCAGTGTGAGACCAGTAAAGTATGCATATGTGTGTGGAGGTGGGAGGTGTTTGGGAGTAAGGATTTGAAGAGAAAAGGGGTGACTTACATTGCCACCATTAGGAGAATGTTAATGAATCAGATGGGGACAGAGGAAAAGCTTTCTGAGTGTCACCATGAAGAGCAAATTGCAAATTGAAGTTAGTATTTTTGTTTGCTAGTTCTGCATCTTTTGGAGCCACTGGAAATCTTCATTCTAAGGGAAAAAGAGAAAGTGGAGAATGTGAAAAGTGTACATAATTTGAATTTAGTTAGCTGTACATTTTTCCTTTCTTCTGGTTGAATTATACGAGACTCCCTCATTGCAGTAGATATCAAGTCTCTTGAAACCAGCATTGGTGTTTCCAAATTCTTCTTCCCTATTTCCCTCCATTTTCCCCTTCCTTCCTTCTTCACTCCCTCCTCTTTCTTCTTTTCCTTCCTTCCTTTCTTCATTCTCAGAATTAAAAATTTGTAAATATACATATGCAGAAAGAAAGGGCAGAATCCTGCATATTTATACGGCCCGCCCCAACCCCTACCACTACATCTCTCTCCCCTCATTTCCTGTAATCCCTTGACGCACTTATACAAAACGTAAGGGCTTGTTGGATCCTGTGTGAAAACTAGTGATCTTGATCAGTCAAATTACACTTTCTCACTCTCTGTGGGTATGTTTCTAGAATTTGTAGTGTACAAAAACTGAATCCAGCTCTTATAGACCAGCTTTATGTTTATAACTAATATAATTTCAAGAGTAGGAAAAGAGCAGTCTAATTACAAAAAAATCAAAATAGGGGTTTGAGTATGCAACTAGAGGCAATGTCACATTTAAGAATATCTATTATTTAAAATATTCTTTTTAAAAGAATTCTTATGTCAAGCTATTGAGTAATTGCTGTGTGCTAGTACTATATTAACTTGTGCAATTCACTCAATACCCTTATGAATTAGGTCTTATTGTCCTTCTTTTTCAGATAAGGAAACAGTGGAGGGAGGTTATATAACTTGCTCGAGGGCATGGAGCTGCCAGCTGCAGAGCCTGTGATCTGACCACAGATCATGTTGCCTCTGATGAGCAGTGAATTGTTCAGATAGTTAATTGAAAATGGTAGTATTTTTAAAGAAGACAGTCTTGTGTAAAGATTGATGACTAACATTCTAATACTTGGAAATACTTTTAAAAATGTATATAACTACTTTCACTGGGGTAAAAGTAATAAGGGAATTTAAATAAAAATAAAATGTCTACAACCAAAGCTGGTTCTACTTCAGTCAGACATAACAAATCAGATCAGAATGTTTAATTACTATCCGATCAACCTTTCTGTTCAGTGTGTCAGTTTAACTTAGAGAACCAAACAAAACATCCCTTTGTTTGTCAAGGATAGCCTATTAAAACAAGGGTGTTCTAAAAATTGCATTAGAAAGACGAAAATGATTTGTTTGATCTTCTGAATTTTAATATGTCAGAAAGATTATTGTGAAGAAAATTGGGC